CGAACCCCACACATTAATATTGGGAGACCTCAGCACACCACTCTCACCAATGGACAGGTCATCAAGACAGAAACTAAACAGAGAAATAATGGAACTAGCAGAGGTTATGACTCAAATGGACCTAACAGATATCTACAGAACATGTCATCTAAACACTAAAGAACATATCTTCCTCTCAGCATCTCATGAAACCTTCTCCAAAACTGACCACATACCTGGTCACAAAGCAAGTCTCAACAAGAAAATTGAAATAACTCCCTGTATCCTATCAGACCACCATGGATTAAAGCTGGATTTCAACAACAACAGAAACAACAGAAAACCTACAAACTCATGGAAACTGAACCACTCTCGGCTGAATGACTACTGGGTCAAGGCAGAAATAAAGAAAGAAATTAAAAACTTTCTAGAATTCAATGAAAATGTATGTATAACATACCCAGACTTATGGGACACAATGAAAACAGTGCTAAAAGAGGAAAGTTCACAGCACTGAGTACCCTCATAAAGAAATCGGACAGCTCCTACACTAGCAACTTAACAGTACACATGAAAGCGCCAGAACAAAAAGAAGCAAGTGCATCCAAGAGGAGTAGACAGCAGGAAATAATCAAACTCAGGGCTGAAATCAACCAAATAGAAACCAAGAGAACAATACAAAAAGAAAAGAAAAGAAAAGAAAAAAGAAACAAAGAGCTGGTTCTTTGAGAAAATCAACAAGATAGGTAAACCCTTAACCAAACTAACCAAAAGGCAGAGAGGAAGAATATCAAAATTAATGAAATCAGAAATAAAAAGGGAGACATAACAACAGAGACCAAGGAAATCCAAAAAAAAAAAATTATTAGGTCATACTTTCAAAACCTGTATTCCACAAAATTGAAAAATCTAAAAGGAACAGACAACTTTCTTGATAGATACTACTCACCAAAGTTAAGTCAAGATCAGATAAACAACAGCTTAAATAGGCATATAACCCTTAAGGAAACAGAAGCAGTCATTACCAGACTTTCAAAGGAGAGTTAATACCAAAACTCTTTTATTCACAAAATAGAAACATAAGGGACATAGCCAAATTCATCTTATGGGGCCACAGTCACCTTGATAGTCAAACTACACAAAAACTCAACAAAGAAAGATAATTACAGAACAATATCCCTCATGAACATTGATGCAAAAATACTCAATAAAATACTCTCAAACCAAATACAAAAAGACCATTCACCATGATCAAGTAGGCTTCATCTCAGAGATTTGGGGATGGTTAAACATACAAAAATCTGTCAATGTACTCCACCATATAAAAAAACTGAAAGAAGAAAAAATATCGCCGGGTGGTGGTGGCGCACACCTTTAATCCCAGTACTTGGGAGGCAGAGACAGGCAGATTTCTGAGTTC